AACCCAAAAACCCCCCCGCCGGGGTGGCGCGGCGGGGAATTTTGGGGAGTTGAATCCCACAAATCTTCAAGTGACCAAGGTTGAGAAATACTGTTCTAGAGGAACCAGACTGGACTCTCCCTTTCTGGACAAACTCAGAAAGTTGTCCTTCAGATTTTGCAAAAGTTTGATGATGGTGACTTCATTCATATTTCAAAATACGTTCATAAAATGTGCCTTCTTACTTTTAACAGCGAATGCATTCGGAACTGCCTTTTCTTTTTTTTTTTAATGAATTCAACAATCTATATTCAAAGATGAATTTCTGCAATTTTTTTTTAAATTGCAGATTTGTGCAGAAATTGGTCAGGACACTCTTGCAGACAATCACACGTGAAAGTGGTGTGCCCATTCCTGTTTTCTAGTCTCCTGTCTAATTTGTTTTGCGCTGCTACAGATCGTATAAATCTTTCTAGGGCTAAACCTAGGGGTGCTAAGCTCTTAAACTCATATCAGCATCTAGTCCAACATGCAACTCATTTATATGGAAGAGTAACACTACTATAAGAAGGTGACACACTTCCACAGTTGGTGTGTATTCTTCCTCTTTCCAAACAGGTTTTTCAATTAGTGTGAAATTTCAGACTGTTGCGTTTTCCAGTTCAGAGGTTACTTATTGATATTTTTACCCAGCAGATATTTGACACTGACTAGACCAAGCACATGGATGTTCTCCCAGCCCAGGTGGTGCCTAAGAATTAAACTTGGCTTTCCACTTGAGAAAATTTCAAGAATCTGATTCTCAGGAAGGAATGAAAGGCATGTTGATGACAAAGTTGGATGATTGGAAGAAATCTTCAGACAAAGAAGTCCCCCAATTAGCTATAGCTATTCTCTTCCTAATTGCTTTATCAAGTATTTATTGCATGGATTTGGAAAATCTGTGCATATTACAAATAGATATTACAAACCTATTAAGCATGTATGCTTATTTCTGCTGGCAAAAAAAATGGGGATTTTTTGCCAACCAAACCAAGCAAATGTCCAAAAAACCCAACATCTAATTCCATATAGAGCCAGTATTGCTAATAGAGTTTGAGTTATATTATCATGAGATTATGTCTGTCTGTTGCACCTTTCAGCCTTCGTGTTCTCCATGATTTTGCTTATGCTAAAAAGTAGCAGAGAGAAAAAGTTAGTATTAATCTTTAGCTGTGGTCAAACTATATTTATTCAAAAACAAAGGAAGATATTTCATTTGTCTTGAAATATAGGAATGTACCTACATGAAGGTGTATTGGTTACAATACAAACAACAGTAACAGCATTTGATAATGGGCAATTTTCTACTGATCTGAATTAATTTAAGCTTGATATTTACTTTTATTTGGATATGTTTATTACAATCACTGTCCAGCATTTTAGACAGTTTTCTAAAAGGCTTACAGAGCTTAGGTTAAGATACATAAACATTTACTTTCTAGATAATTGATTGTAATAAACTGGACCAAATTAAAATACAGTATAAATACAAATAATACTAAAACGTTTAAATGCTTAAAACTAATTCTCTAAATTATAAAACAACCTTATGAAAAAAAATACTAAAATATTACACTGCTATCCTGCCTTTTTTATATACATTGGTCAACTCAAGGCAGCAAACAGACCTAATACTCTTATCTCCTATTTTTTTCCTACGCCAACAACCCTGTGAGGTGGATTGGGCTAGGAGAGAGTGAATGGCCCAAAGTCACCCTACCAGCTTCCATGCCTAAGGAAGGGCCTGGAACTCAGAATCTTCTGGGTTCTAGGCCAGCACATTAACCACTACACCAAGCTGGCTTCTCTAAACTAAACTACTGTGAATATGTGTGCATGAATGGCTGGCTGGCTGGCTGGCTGGCTGGCTGGCTGGCTGGCTGGATGGATGGATGGATGGATGGATGGATGGATGGATGGATGGATGGATGGATGCCATTGGTAGTGGTTAAAATGCTAAACTAGAGTAGGGAGCCCCAGGTTTTAGTCCTCCCTAAGTCAGAGAAGCTGACTGGGTGATTTTGGGCCAGTCACCTTCTTTCAGCCCTTGACTGAGAAGCTGAAAAACTTCTATCTATCAGCCCTCACTGGATCAGCATGGTACATTATGGTCCATTACCTTCAATGAGGCCTTCATCTTGCAATGGATTGATTTGGGATGATGATGATGATGATGATGATATGAAGTTGATATATGAATGGGGCAGGATTGAGCCATAGAGAGAAGATGACCTGCACTGATGACATTTTTTTGTCTTCTTCTTTCTCCTCCTTCGCTAGCTACATGGTGAACATTGGATTAATTGAAAAGCTGAGCTGCTGCTTTCTCTCTATCCAAGGCCCAATTGATGAAACACCCAAAACAGCTGCTTTCTTGCAGAACTCCACAGCAGCCTTGCATGGAATGTGTCAGCTGTGTTTCACTGTCAATGGCAGGCAAGTGGTGGTGGTGGTGGAGGTGTTTTTAGCTGTCATTTTGTCTGATGGTTGTCTTTGCATGAGAAAAGCAAAGCCCGTTTTGCAAGCGCAGATGTCCTAACTTCCCAACGTGGAGAAGAGTAGCCCTGAAATGCGACCCCTTAAGCCACTGCAAAAATATTTGCTTTGAAAGGCATGTCTGGAATGACAGGTTGGAAGAGACTGAGGCCTGGGCGTGTGTCTCTGCCGCAGGCAGCCTGGGTAAGCCACAAGTGGTGGGGCGCAAAGACACCAGACGAATCTCTTAGCTCGATTCCTTGTTGGGGCCTTAGAAGAAGCAGAGGGAGCCTCAAAGGAAAACTAAACTGGGAAGCAAGTCGCTCAAAACTTCAGGATCCCAGAACGGTGCAAAAAAGCAGACATTGAGGAAAAAGTGTAAGAACGAACAGAAAATCAGGGGGAAACCCCCCCCCCGAAAATATAGAAAGGGATGTCTGCTGCAAACCATTTAGATTTTAGACTTTTTTGATGAAGGCTTATGAACTGTATTCCTACAGCAGCCTTCATAAAAAACAGTTGTACCATTGCATATGGGGGAGGCCATCCCCGCTAATCGCGCAGCTTACATTCCAAGGTCTACTCACACCATAGAGATTTGCATAGAAGGACACTAGCTGGGTGAAATGTGCATAGCCATTTTTCTTCTTGCACTGGCAGGGTCTTAATACTGATTTAACCAGGGAGTTTGTTTTTTTTCTTTCAAAGTGATTCTTTAGTATTAGTTAATAATAAATATGTGATGCACTTAAAAACATTAGGCCCTGTGCTAAACTTCTGCCATGCAAGAACCTTATTTATAGCTCAGTCATGCCTGCTTGGGCTTCACAGAGTTGTTGTAAAAGGAAATGCCCTGGGGGAAGACCATGCCTGTTGCTCCAAACTCTTTGGAACAACTACAAGTTATCTCTCTCCATCCGTCCATCCATGTTTGGATCTGCTTGTTTGGATCTGCAAAGGAAGTCTCACCCTTCAGAAAGGTCATTCCTACTTCTCCACTTTTCCACGTATCCTTAAGTCTTTTAATTCTTTTAACTCCAAACACCTACTGGATGGCTGAGAGGAAACAGAAATTTGGCTTTCTCCATGTGGGGCGGGGTTGGGAGCATTCAAGATTTGTTGGTGGCTTCTACATTTCTCATCAGCCCCAGGGTTGCTAGGCTTGCGGCACTTCAGATCAGAAACCTGTTTCCCAAACCCCGTGAAGTTAAAAGAGTTGAGTTTATTATTATGAGCCCTGGAAAAAAATATGATGAATTATACAACGGATGCCAGCACTGGAGGCTATATTTCTTCCTGAGCCCCGTCTAAGGATTGGTGATGTCAGAACATTCCGAAATGGTTTCACATCAAATCTTATAACATTTTTGTGATGATGCCTATAAAATAGGCTGATGGTAAATGACAGGTCATTGGAAAGTTGTGATGGTGCAGAAAAGTCTCACCCCACTAATCACACGCTTACAAGACACACAGCTACGAGTTGAACCCCTGTCAGTATACAATCCAGAGGTGGAACTGTTGGCTCTCTGTTGATGGAATCTGGTACGGGTTTTTTTTTCCCTTGCGCAAAAGGAGAGAAAGAAAGGTCGGGTCGAAAGGATACAGAGGGATCTAGACTTCTCTGTACTGTATTTTATTGCATTAATTAAGTTAATGTCTGGTTTGGCTGCTTGGTGGCCAATAAAATCGAAGCAGCAGCTTGAGATCGGGTTGTTCTGCTGTCCACTGCCAAGAGAGTCCTATTCAGCAGATGCGGCAATCTGCCGGTGAAAATATAAAGCTTGGTGAACAAACAAGTGGGAAACCCATAGTGGTGGGTTTTTTGTCTGCTTTGCTGTCCCCCAAAGCATCTGTAAGTCACCCAAAAGGGGAACATGCCTGTGACAGTCACTTATATATTCAGCAGCCTATCGTGAGTGCAGCTGACTTATTTACCGGAAGGGGCACGAGCCTTTTCAAACATGTTTCAATGATTTTTTTGGACCACATTAGAGAGATAAGCGGTGGGCTTGGTTAAGCCCGTGTTGGTCTTGGGTGCGGTTCAAAAAGGTTGAGTTTCCCCTGAAATCCCCAGGATACAAGGACCTTCTGTGGTGTCACATCCCTGTTAGCGTTTGCTGTTGTTTTAATCCATAGCTAGCTCTTCGCAGGGAAGAATTCTGTGTGGGTTGTGGAATGCCCCACCCGCTGCAAGAAAGAGCTTTGAATTTGAATTCCATGAGCTCGATGGGCCAAGCAGAGGGATGCATCTAAACCCTGGAGTAGAATTGACCCCCAATTTTCCAACCACTGCCTGGACTCTATTTTATTAAATAAAATAAATAGATTTTATTAAGTCGCTTCAGTATCACTTCTGAGCTGTGCTACCATCAGGTTGTGGGGGTTATTTATCTCATGGATAAGGATAAGAACAAAGTGGCATAACTTGTCTCAAAAAGTGTGAATCTCGAGAGAGAGTGGCAATATATGCGTTTGTGTGTTGTGTGTATATACACACGCAACGCGCACACACATACACACTCTTGCCTGTTTACTAACATCGCCTTTTGGCGAGGGGTGTTTTTAAACCACGTTCAGAAGGCCATCGTTCTTCCACTGTTTTAAAAGTCCAGAAGTTTATTTTGGTAAATCATCTCCAAGCGTTGCTGAACAACAACTCCCAAGAGCCTCCCTATTGGCCAGGCTGGTTGTGACTGCTGGAATTCTAGTACAGAAACATCTGGAGGGCATGTCTTCACTCAGTTTGGACTCTTCTGTTAGATGTTGTTTCTCTGTTGCATTTTTTAGCCAGAAATAAACTTTGCTGCCGGCAAAAGCAGAGCTTCTGGTTGACTTGCAGAATGATCTTGTACCCCTTTCTTCAGCAGGTCAGGAAGCATCTTTGCTGATGCCCATCAGGATCCCACGGGGCTGACGGCAGCTTTCGAGGCCACAGACCTGGTGGGCGTCCTGCACATGCTGTACTGCGTCCTCTTCCACGGCACCCTCGTAGACCTGAGCGTGACCAGCCCCAAGGAGAGTTTCACGGCAAACACCATCCAAGTGGCTCTCCAGAGTTTACGCTTCTTCAATAGCTTTGCTCTGCTTGATCTGTCAGCTTTTCAGGTAATATTTGTCCAAGCACCCACACTAGCGGTGAAGTGCCCTTGCACACTCCCTCTGCTTCCACGCGTGTGACAATTCCGAACTGCCTCTTCTAACTGATTGGCCAACGACGGCCCACTCTCACTCTTGAGATCCACAACAGCTAGCCAGAGTTTCAGCTGGGCCACCTGATTTCCTGACTGCTCATCTCCGTAAAGCTCAGCCATGATCTGAATTATGTTGGATGCTGGATGAACATTAGGAAGTAACCTGTGGGGTAGCTAACTGTAGTGGTTTGTTGCTAAAGAATTGTTTATTTAGATTCTTCTCTGATTCCCCACTACAGTTATAAATTTAGTAGAGAGTCTTCACAGGAGCTGTTTTTTTAAAAAGCGTTTTGATTTTGGATTGCAAGAATCTCTCTTTCCTCTCTTCTCTCTCTCCCACACCACGACTCAGAGGCATTGATCCAGCTGGACGTTTCTAGCCCATTTTGCAGAAGACGCATGTTTATTTTCACTTCGTATTAGGGTGTCTGCATTTCTTTAAATTTAGCAGTCGGTAGCTTTCCCCTCTTCATTATTTTACTTAAAAACTGTCGGTTGAACATTTACGGCCAAGGTAACCATTTCCCGAAGGGCTCAAGTCCAAAAAAGTAGGCCATGTAAAAAATTTCAGTGGCAACCTTTGTCAGGATATCATCCGTTTATCTTGAGCATCTCAACAGGGAGAAGAAGCCGTGCAGGATACTGAATCACCATCAAAACTGGTTGTAGAGGAAATGTGCAGTTCCTCGGGGGGGGGAAGAATGTTAATGTTTATATACAGTCTTTGGTGCCCCAGGCCACTTGTTATCAGAGGAGGCTATAAACACAGAGCACTTGGATGGGAACATGGTTGTGGAAAAAGGACTCTCTCCAGGAAGATGTCGCCACATAATCTCCAGTAGTAAATGGCTCGGGGGGGGCAGAGGGCACAGGCCTTTAGGGGCATCATGGCATGGCTGTGCCCAGCCTTCCAATGTATTTCAGCAATGCTTGGGCAACTTCTTGGCATCTGGGAGGCATCTAGCCAGAAGTAAGCCTAAACTATTAGAGTCCCTTCTTGGATTTAGGCTTGTAAACTAAACAGATGGCAGAAAAGGCAAGAAAGAGGAGGAGGGAAGAGGAACTCAGTGCCAACTCAGGCACCCACAATACAAAGAGAAGACACACTCATGAGAGAGGAAAATTCTTGAACTTCCACCACCATCTACTCTTCCTCCTCCTCCTCCTCCTATGTGGTGCCTCCAGAAACCGTGCCCATCTGCTCCTGCCAGTAGGTACCGTGGGAGTCAGGTGACTTGCCATCCCAGCCTGGAGGTCCAGTTACATGATGAATTTTGGACTAGCGTGGATTCGCTCTTCTCCATATATTTTTAACCCATGGTCTGCCAAACTAAATAACCGAGAACCAGTCCCATGTGCACAGTGGATCTTTTCCCACAGAGAGGCTGCTCCATTCCAGTGGCCAGACTTTGATGTTCCTTCCTCCTGCATCGCTTCTCCCCTCTGACCCCGCGTCACTTTTTCTGGCTGACATGTTTATTAAATAAAGCCTGCAGGCTGCACCGATAAAGTGGCCTTATCCTGAATCGCTCTGCCGTAACCTGCCTGTTTTTCTCCTCCCACGGCCAACGCACATTAAACTCTTCAGCTAGCAAGGATTTTCTCCTTTTGCTTATGTCTTGCCAAACCATGACATTTAAAAGGGTTGCTCTTTGCAAGTGGGTGATCGAGGGGGGGGGGAATAAGTTTGGAGTCGTGCAAGCGGGGGCAGAATGGCCATCCGCTCCCTGGCCCTGCAGACTTCTGGGGAGAGGAGAAAAGGGCCAGGCAAGTTTACAGATGCAGCCGCAGCCCATCCATCAAGCTATGTGCAAGCCATAGTGGCTGGGAGGTGGTGTCGGTGTGCACACAGCGGGCTTGATTGGGCGTTGAAAAGCAGCCAGGTCAATAATCTAGCATGGCCAGGTCGGAAAAGACCAAGGGACAGACCGATTGCACAGAGTTTCAAAACTGATAAACTAGTGGGAACCCAGCTCCATGTAGGAGAATATATCAGTGTAATGAGCTGATATTAATTTCAAGCAATAATAATGCACCATCAGTGTCTATAGCTTCCCAGAGGTCACTCCCTGCCACCAGGAATTTGAAATTCCTCATAGCAGGAGCGTCAAAGAAAGGGAAAAGAGACAAAGGCAGGAGTAAATGGAGAATGTGTTTGAGTGCATGCATTTGGGCTTCATTAAAACAAGCTGTAGCTGCCAGGATGAGTACATAAATCAATCTCAGCTTCTATTCAATGCACACATACACGTTTTCTTGTCTATAGATTATGCCGTTGGTGAAATTCAACATGGTTTTGTCCTTTGTTAATACTGTTTTTTCACTGAAAATTTGATTACTTAAAATTAATTTTAATTTTAATACTTAATTTTATTACTTCCGACAGTAATAAATGAGTCTGATTAAGCTGAGGGTTGGAAACCCTTTGTACAATCTGTGGGCAGATTTTCAGTCAGCCCATTTAAGGAACGTTGGGCTGAAAAGGGAATATATATATTGAAAGGATTCTGTGCTGGTCTATGACCGTAATAAAGATTTGATCTGATCTGATCTGATCTGATCTGATCTGATCTGGTTTGATTTCAAAGGATTCTCTTCTGTTTCTTAATTTTACAGATTCTTAGTTTGGGAATCTAATAGCACCTGAGATACCAAGTCCTCTTGGTATTGGCAAGCTCTTCCCCAATTGCCCCGAACATCCGTAACATCTTTTTTCTGGCATGTTGGGGTGGAAATCACAAAAAATAGAGAGTAGGCCCTAAGTAGGCTGCACCTATTTTAGAAAACAAACTCCACAGCGATCCTTGGATTCAGCTGGATGTTTGCAGAAGATGCAGTTACGTTTCTCTCTTTTTCCTTTCTCCAGTCCGTGGTTGGCGCTGAAGGACTCTCCCTCGCATTCAGGCACATCATCAGCTCCTTGCTATGGCACTGTTCCCACCACACCTGCGAAGTGCTGCTCCACGAAGTCATTGTGTGTGTGGGCTACTTCACCGTCAACCATCCAGACAACCAGGTAGGGAGACCCGTTTAGAAGTCTTTAGCCTCTCTGGGTTCCCAACTCTGATTCCCAAATCCAGACTTTAAAGTGTCTTATCCAGGATGTAACAACCGCTTTGCTTTTATCTGTGGGATCTTTTCCATATCACTGCCTGGGCTGTTCGTTTTTCTTTCTCTCGCTGTTCCTTTTCAATCGGAAAATGTATTGGTTTGCTTAAACATTGCAACAAATGGAGTGGCCCCTTCCTGCAACTATACATTCAAGAATTCAGAAGTCTCACCGGGTTTTTTTCGAAACCTCCCGGAGCATCGCTGTATCTTCAGCAAACGGCACGGAGCACCATGTGCTGCTCCATTAGGAACAGGAGCCCCCTGACAATCCAGCTAGCCAGGTATTCTCTGGATGTGATTAGCAGCAGCTCTGCGAGGTTTTAGACATGGATCTTCCTCGACTTAGCTGAAGGTATCAGGTTTGCATCTGAGGTCTTTTGCATCCGTAGGCATCATCGGTGGGGGCAGGGGAAAGCGGAGGGGGACAAATGGCAAAACGTGTGGCGTGACATCATGATGCAAAGCCCATGATTGATGTATTTGGAACACAAGTATGAAAGGCCAGATTGTCCTCATGGTTTGTCGTGGACGTCTACTTTTGCATCCAACCAGGTTAAATTGTCACGACGGTTTCCAATCAAAAAGAGGATGTCTGCTGTGAACTATATAAGAAACTAGTTACACCATTGCTCTGTCTAGGGCAGTGTTTCTCAGCCGTGACAACTTGAAGATGTGTGGACTTCAACTCCCAGAATTCCCCAGCCAGCCATGCTGGGAGTTG